TCCTCCTCACCATCATGTGCAGAGCTAACCTTCACTGAACACCTCCAGGGCACCTGGCACCTTCTATGTGGAATATTTGTCTCATCCACTTAATCTGCCCCATGGGCCTGGGACACAGGCACTGCTGGGATCCCATTTTGAAAATGAGGGAACTGAGAACCAGAGAGGTCAAGGGATCATCCTAACGCTGCACAGCAACAAACAGGGCAGCTAGGATGGGGATGGGGATTTGTGCTCAGAACCCGGCAGGGCACTCCGTAGCCTGTCTTCTTACATCTTGAGTCGTGGCAAGGTGCATAGAAGGTCTGTAATCGTGGGTGATGGCTGTTATCCCTGTTATTCATGATTATCATTCTATTATAAATAATGATATTGATGAATAGTAATACTGTTGGTCTTTAAAAAAGTTCCAGGGAGAGAAATAAGTCAGACAGAGAATTCCAGTACCACACGATCTCATTTAATGTGGTTCTAAAATCATCAAGCATAGAGAAAAGAGATGAGTTTTGTAGTCCCCGGATTTGGGGGGTGAGGGAGGAAGCTCTGGGCAAAAGTTGTCAAAGGTACCAATTTCCAGTTATATAAGAAATATGTGCTGGAGATGTAACGTACAGCATGATTTAAAACTAACAAGATTTTAAAATGAAAAAAGTAAACAGGAAGGAAGGAAGGAGGAAGGAAGGAAGGAAGGAAGGAAGAAGGAAGGAAGGAGGAAGGAAGGAAGGAGGGAGGAAGGGAGGGAGGGAGGAATGAAAGAGGGAGGGAGGGATGAAGGAAGGTGCAAAGAATGCCCTTGGGAGCTGGTTGGGGCTTCTGCCAGGGAGAGCGGAGGGCCCTTGATGGGGGTATTGAGGGATGGGCTGGGCTGTACCTGGGCTGGGCTCTGCCCCAGAATTCCAAGGCTTTGTGCTGTGTCCCGGCCTGCAGGGGTGTGACAAACAGTTCTTCAACGCCTCGCTGCAGTTCGAAAACATGGACCATCTGCTGGACTTCATCAACAGTAATACATCCAAGCTGGGCATCACTGTGGAGTACGCCACGCTGGCCGAGTACTTCGGTGCCTTGCACGATACCAATGTCACCTGGCACGTCCGTGATCACCCAGACTTCCTGCCCTATTCCTCAGGTATGAGCCCGTGCAGGTTGGGGGACAGATTTGGTGCCACGGAGGGCGCCCACCTAGTGTCTGCTCTGCCCTGCTGAGGAGCTTGTGAGGGTCACTGGGGCCGAGATTGGCCATGCCCCCCACTGCCCCCCATACTCTGTCCCACTAGACATCCTAGGATTGATGGGACACTCACAGAATGGCTCTGTAGCTTCCTATTTCCACATCCAGGAGGCTTTGGCTGCCTTCATGTGGGAGGGCTACAAGGGTATGAGCTTGGTTATAGTCAGGGGGGAGGGGCAAATTGATGTGGGTGGGGTTACAGGTGAAGTTCAAGGACTCCTCTGTGTGGGCGTGGTTACAGCCCAGGCAGAGCTGGATATGTGGGTGTGGGCAGGGTTATGCTGAAGTGGGCGGGGCTACACCAAAGAGGGAGGAGATAGGGCAATG